AAATAATCTTGATTTTATTACTTCATATTAATGGAATGTATTGTGCTATTATTGATCTATTACTAGTAAACGGCACTGCACCTACTACCTTATGCTACTGTTTTTACATCAGTACTGTGTGTGTGTGTGTTTCATTAAGTTGATTTTTAAAGGATTTTTTTTAAAATTAGTATTATTGAAATTTACAACTTTACTAAATGATAAATACAACAAGTAAATCAGAAAATGATAACATGACATGTACAACATGAAGAGAAATTGCCAATTGGTAGCACTCCCATTATATTTCTATATTAGAAGGTCCCGAGGCCATCTTCTTTTCAGACGCCTCGGAGGGTTATTGGGAATAGAAGAGGAAGCAAGGTTGGAAACAAGAGGGTTCGGATTGCTCAGAAGTTTATTATAGACAGACAGGTATCTGGATTGAACTAAATCGGAAACATATGATACATTAAGCTCATTATGGATGATTTTATTTGTGACAAAGTAGGGAGCATTAAGGATTTTACGAAGGATTTTGTATTGTAGGGATTGGATACGAGAGTAATTTGATGGTTTGCTCGATCCCGTAAGTCCAAATAGGCTTTACTATAGTAATATATATTAATCTTTTGTAAATAGTTGGAAGCTTAGAGCGTTTGTCTAGTAAGTACTTCAGTAGTTAAAAACGTCGGACGGTTTATAGTCGTTTCAGTCTGGTATGGAGGTTCCAAGTGAGTCGTTTGTCAAGGTGGATTTCTAGGTATCGGATTTGTTCAACAGCGATAAGTTGGCTATTGTTAAAAGTTATTGTAGGACAGGAAGTCATAGGTTTACGACGAAGAGTAAAGGTAATTTTATGGGATTTATTGGAATTTATTTTAATCCTACAATATTGACATTTTCAAGACTTGTGATGTGTGATTGGAGAGTTAGGGATGCAATAGATGGATCGTTATTAACTGATAGGATACACGTGTCATCGGCATAGGTCAGAAATGTATTTTAGCATCAAATTCTTGGTATAACAAATTTAAAATTTAAAAAGTGTATAATTTAAATGTCATGGGGACATAATGCATTTCTTGACATTTTTTCCTTACTCTCTCAATGCGGAACGATTTTTACTGCGAAAAAATTATTACTTTGGCAAATGCATATAGCATTCTCAAACACTATCGTATTCATATCCCATGAAGCGATAACATGAATGGAAACTTAGATGTAATAATTTAATTATTAATTAAATTTTAGTCGAATCCACCGATATTATTAATTAGTATATGCTTATATTTAGGTTAAATTATATTTTACTATATAAATAAAAGCTCTATTATTCACCACGTTTATTTTCATTTTTCCTCCACAGTGGCTACGTTTCGGCTATGATGCCATTTTCAAGCCGTCTATAAGACCCATACACAATCAGTTCATAGAAAACATTTAACATAATACAACAGTGATGTTAGTCATCTTTTATCAACAATATTATATAAATTATAACCCTAATAGAGTTAAATTATTAAATTAATTTACAATTATATTAATTAAAACACAACATAATATAAGAATATTCCATAAATTAATTTATTTATATTCATGTAAGGTTAATCAGGTATTGACTCCTAGTAAATTTTAATATTCCTACCTAGTAAATATTGCACATTCTATTTAGTCCATAATTGTATTATAATCTCTATGGGATTGTTTGATTGGGATGTTACATGTTAACATATACCATAGTGTCAGTACCCCATCGAAGAGAAAATGATTCCTGGGCCGTGACCGAACAGGAAAAATCGGAACTCTTTGCCGAATGCCTTTCTTCTGTTTTCATATCACACACAGACTTCACAAATACTGAGCACAATAACAATGTACTAAACACTTGAGACGTGCCCCTACAACAAACTTTACCTCCTATTTCATTCACACATTTTCAGATTGCTGAACAAATCAATAAGTTACCTAAAAGAACAGCTCCTTGACATGACTTGATTAACGCTGAAGTGCTCCAACAAATGCCTTGGAAAGCTCTAGTGCTTTTAACAACTATTTATAATGCAATACTGAAGACAACTAAATTCCCACTACAATGGAAATACTCACACATAACAATGATCCACAAGCCTAACAAGAACAAAAACTCAACTTCCTTATACCGACCAATCATTACTTCCTAACTGTTCCAAAATTTTCGAAAGCTTACTGCACAAAAGACTTGTTGATATACTAACAAACACACAAACAATACCTGAACATCAATTATGGATTTAGGACAGAATACTCAACTATACACCAACTACAAAGAGTAGCAGACTACATCTATCTATCTACAGCACTAGAGCTGAAATTATATCCAACAGGCGTAATTTTGGATGTTGGTCTTTAAACTCAAGACAATACTTCCAACTACTTACTATATAATTCTAAAATCCTTCCTTTCCATAAGATGTTCCTCAGTCCGACACGGGTCAGAACTATCTTCCATCTCAGGAGTACCCCAAGGCTCAGTACTCGCTCCACTACTTTATATCACATACACCTGGGTACTGCTCTCCCTCACGCCTTACATGCCATTATATTTTTGTAGCGATCATCTTATTCACAGGTTGTCATTCTCATTATGACTGGTGGGAATAAACAATTATAGCTAAAAAAAATTCATATTGGTATTTTACTGTTTCCTATTATCTGAACTATTATAGATATTACGTAATTAAAATTTTAATTTGGTGATAATATTTGCATATGTACCATTTAGCCCTTTCGTGTCTGTCTGAAAATTACATACTTTGTACAGATCTTTAGTAATATAAATGGATTCCAATACCTTACGTTTATAGCTGTTTTTCTCACTGTTAACAAGTTCAGTATTCTTTAAGTAAAAAGTATGTTATGTTGGGTGCTATGTGTTGAAAGTCCTGTGCAAGTGTTTCATATTTTAATTTTGGAAGTGCAATTATTTTTATATTGATTGATTCTGTTTTTTTAAGTTTTGTTCGGTTTGCCCTATGTAACATGTACTCTTTATATTTTCATCGGTAGAATTTGGCAGTCTTTACAATTTATTTTATATATGATGTCAATTTTATCATCTTTGTTTATTCCATCTTTATTATTAGTGTAAATGTTCTGAATTTTGTTTGTTAATCTTCTGCTGAATCTAAGATCTGACAAATCATGTTTTTTTAAAGTGTTTGTTATTTTATCTGTGAGACTAATAATTTGTGTTAAAGATTAAAATTTTTTGTTTATGTGTTGGTATTTACTATTATTTCTTTCACTATTTTCAACTGCATTGTTGGATGACTTTGCGCTGTAGTTTATTGGTTTGAAAAAATAGTTTGTTAATTTATTTTTACTATTATTGAATGTTTGTTCTTTCTGATTTTATTTGTTTCCTATTTTTGTAAGGTTTTGAATTTGATGATGTTGACTGTGGACTTGTATTTCATGTTTCTTATAAATTCTTTTTATACATAAATCATTTATGATTTTATCAGGATACCAATTTTCAATTAATATTTGATGAACAATTCCTCTCACTTTTTGTATATGATTTTTACTGGTTAGTCCTATATCTCTGTCTATTAAATTCTTGGCTACATTTCTGATTTGATAAGAGGGGTGATTGCAGTAAAAATTTAATAATCTATTACTAGTATCCTCCCTCTTTGTCAATTCTGTAGTCAATATCCCAGGTTTTCTTTATGTATGTTTATATCCAAAAACCTTATTACATAATTTTCTTCTATTTCATTTGTGAATTTCAAATTTGATATTTTTAATGTGAGTTCTTTATTTTCATCCTAAAAAAGTGGCGTTAACGTGTTTGTTTTCAGTTTGCTATCGATTAATGTTTTTCAAGATATAATAAACATAGCTCGTAAATAAAAAAATAAAAAAAACGCTGCAAATTATTCCACAATGGTTTATTATTTCCAAACAATTATACATATAAAGTAACATTACCTTCCTAATTACAAAGAAAAATAAATAAAAGGTGATTCCAATCATTGGACTAAACTTTTTTTTTTAATTATTAGTAATATGCTAAAAAAATAGCATTACTTCAGTAACACATTCAAAATTTAAAAACCAAACAAAGGATATAACATTTGGAGTAGAACATATTAAAAAAAACAGGAGACCATATCTTTGCTCCTAATTGTCCGATTTTAATGATTTTTTTTTTTTTGTTTTTTTGGAAACTCCTTAAACTTTTTAAAAAACCACTACAATGGTTCATTATTGAAAATACCATATACAATATCAACAAAAAAGTGTGTGCTTAAGTGTAAGTTATTCGGAATTAAATTTTACCTTCCCTCGTAACTTTGTTTCCAGCTTCTTTTCGTTGAAGTGTTTCATATAGATAAATTTAAAGGGCGCCAATAAAATGATTTTAGCGAGGTTTTATTGAAATCGGTACATTCGTTTAGGAGCTACAGTCTATAGCAACGAAGGTTTTTCGGCCGCCATTTTGAAAGTAAAAGGTGAATAGAAATATCGATGAAGGAGGATCATCCTCGGGTGGTATTCATTAATAATTATTTTTAGTGGTAAAAAATAATTACATAAACAAATGCTTATAACATTCTCATACAGTATCGTACTTATATCTCAATGAAGCAATAAAATGAATGGAAATATTGATGCAATAATTTAATTAATAATGGTTGAATTCACAGATATTTTTAATGTGAGTTCTTTATTTTTATCCTAACGGAGTAGTGTTATCTTGTTTGTTTTTAGTTGGCTATCAATAAATATGTTTTTAAGATTTATTGAACAAACATTGTATATAAAATATTTAATATTTATACGTTTGTGAACAAGTTTAATATTTCCTCAAAAATAATTAATGTATAAAAAATTCAAACTAATTATACATACACAATCATTCAAATAAAAAATTTCAAAAAAAATATACACATGAACTAGGTTTTATATAATAGAATAGAAAAATATGTAATACATAAAATAATAAAAAAACTTTTATGTATATATAAAAATCTCACAATATCAGGAAGAGAATACTAGTCTGCATTGTCCGCGTATCCTTCTGTGTCCTGGCGGGCAAGCCTTAACGGGAACTACGAATAGTGCTCGATCAAATATACCCTCCTCTTCCACCGGTTTTACTTCATCAGGGAAATAGATCCTTCCTTCGTGGGGGTGACATCTGGTTACCACGATGAACCCCAGGATGAGGAGTACCACACGTGACGGACGCATCGGTTTGACTGGCAGCCACAGGGATATCTCACCAGATGGAGCGATGGTTGTCCTTTTCGATGAAGCACCAATTCTTTGAATAAATACCTTTTTTTTTCTCGTCTTGAAATTAACTGTGATTTCCCTGTCGAAGGACGCCAAGGAAACCCCAACACTAACCAACAGATCGATATCCGGATATCTCGAATCGATAATGAACCGCCGAAATCGAGTCATTACGATTACAAAATATGTTTGAGGCTAGAAGATTCCATTAAATTATGTGTTATCGCACAACAGAACCATGTTGTTTTACTCAAAATTAAATGGTATTAAAACAATAACTCCTCTTAACTCCTGTGATTGCTTATTTTACAATTAATTTTCAACAGATTTACCTGTTGAAAAAGAATAAAATTCTACACAAGTAAATCAGTGCAGCTTCTACGCCATTGCGTTATGTGCATAAACGCATATAATCATTCAATTCACTAAGATTATAATTTCATTAATCGAATTGAACTGAGAATCTCAAGTTGCTTTGAGTAAGAAGATGCAGGACACGAGAAAAATACAGGAATGACTAGCTTTATGTCCTTGAGGAGGCCCAGGTTCTTGTAGGACTGTTGCGCCCAGCAATATGTAAGTAATTGAATTGTTTAATTATAATTAAATATCCATTGCCATATGTTTACACTCCATTTCACTACACAGCCACTATACCGTTGGTTTATAGTAAAAAGTATCAAGTACATTTTTGATGAAACTGAACGTTTATCAACGTTTTCGTTAATTTCGATCTTCGATAATTTCGATCGATAATCGAATTCGATTTAAAAAAAATGGAGAGAAGATTGGTTCGAATGTTCAGTCAAACAATTTTTTAAATAAATAAATTATATTTTATATTTAATAGTTGACCGTAACATTATAAAGGAAGGAGATGGTTCGGGGTGGTGGTCATAAATAGGCTGAATAGTGGCAAAACTATTTTATTAAAAGACAACTTTTCGACCAGACTTTCCAGGTCTTCTTCAGAGCTCGAACGGACAAGATACAAAAAGATAGAGAATTGTGGAAGTTACATAATATTATGACAAAAAATTATAAACAATGTAAATAAGCTTATTAAAATTATAAACAGTAAGTACATTAAAATATGAACAGAGTAAGCTAAGTAACAAGATCCTAAACTGAAGTAAATAGATGCTAACAATTGTTGCAGTGTAATATATAATAAATGCAAATGTGAATATACTTCTACAGATCTATAGGAGAGATTGAAAGAAAATGAAAAAGGATATAATATGAAATAATAGACATCAAGGAATGTGGAGAAAGAAAAGAAAATTTCTAAAGAAAACTAAAAATTAAATAAATAACTTAATAAAATGGAAGAATAAAATTAGAGACTTACAGGTGTGTTCAGCTAGGAGTTTCACTTAGAACTGGAAAATCAGGGGTAAAGACAGGTATAGCGGAAGCTGACTTGTTCAGGTAATGGGGAAAAACCTATTTTTCCCCATTAATTTTCTAGGTATTTTCCCCATTACCCAAACAAATCAGCTTGAGTGAAACACCTAGCTGAACACACCTGTAAGTCTGTAATTTTATTCTTCCATTTTATTATGTTATTTATTTAATTTTTGGTTTTCCTTTTTCTTTTCTTTCTCCACATTCCTTTATGTCTATTATTTCATATTATATCCTTTTTCCTTCACTTTCAATCTCTCCTATAGATCTGTGGAAGTATATTCACATTAGCATTTATTATATATTACACTACAACAATTGTTAGCATCTATTTACTTAAGTTTAGGATCTTGTTACTTAGCTTACTCTGTTCATATTTTAATGTACTTACTGTTTATAATTTCAATAAGCTTATTCACATTGTTTATAATTTCTGTCTAAATATTATGTACCTGCCACAATTCTCTATCTTTTTGTATCTTGTCCGTTCTAGCCCTGAAGAAGACCTGCAAAGTCGGGTCGAAACGTCGGCTTTTAATAAAATAGTTTTACCACAATTTAGTCTATTTATGACTGCCACCCCGGACCATCTCCTTCCTTTATAAATTTTATTTATTTTTATTTTTGCCGACGTTTCGGCCCAAAATTCAGGCCTTCACCTGAGCTAAGGAAAAAAAATATAATCAAATTGTATTTATTTTTACATTTTTTGACTGAACATCCCAACCAATCTTCTCCTTAATTATTCACTACAGTCAATAATCAATCCACAATTATATTAAAAACATACAGTAAGTACATTAAAGTTACTCTTTTAACTCTTCAAACTCTTTTATATGTAAAACAACCAAAAATAAGTGCAAAATTCTCTGATTTGAGAAAAATCATCATAATTTGTAGTTATTTAAGTTATGAAATGTCACTTGATGACTTTTTGCAATAACCCGATGATATTCTTAATGGTTTCATCTATTTTAATTATTTAATGAAAAATGATCAAACTGTCCAAGTGTGTATTATCCATGAATTTGTCTTCATCTTGGAGACAAATCTAATGAGCCAAGAAGAAGTAGAAAAATTAATTTTATTCTAGGACTAAGTCCCCTTTAGAATAACTACAATGTACACTTTAATGACAATTGTCTGACATTAGGAATGAATTAAATTACATGGTAATCGAGGTGTAAGATTACAATAAAGAAAAAGCATTATTAGAAATATGAAATTATAGATAAATTCAGATATATGAGTTCACATATTTATACTTATATACAATGTGGGTGATATATAATTATCTGTCGGATAACACTAAAGCAACTGATAGATCTAAAAAACTTGAACATTATTTTACACATATTCCGAAGATTGATTGCTGAGGAGATGGATAAATAAATAAATAAATTATGTTTAAATGAGGTCAATGGTTATGATTTGGGTATGGAGGTTGAAAATCCAAAACAAGGTAGCACGCATGACAAAGGATTTTTTAAAGGAAATAGTTCTATGAGAAGGAATAAACAGGTTTGAGGGCTGAGATCTCGTGTTGAATGAATGGACAGAGGAACAAGGAGTAAACTAATCGAGAAGGCAAGATGGTTTTATGGTTGTAAAAGGAATACACCTAGGAAGTATTCCCATCGGGAGACTGGATAGAGCCACTTCAACTCGGCACACCAACTGGAAACGTGAGAGCACCTGGGGACTCTAAAAATAAATCTAGTGAAACAATCCATTAGCCTCGTTAATCTGATCTCAAGCCCACCAGACAGTCTACCGTATACATGGCAGCCATAATCGAAATCAGAGAAAATGAGTGAAGAAATATACACTTATATATTTTTCTATTTACCGTTTCTTTCGGCTAAAGGGGTTTGGCAGTGGTAGTATATCACACCTGCGATCGAATCACATATAGATGTGAAACATGGACACTGCCGAAGGATAGTAAGAGTAAAATATTTGTTTTAGAAAGGAAAGTCCTTCGGAAGATATTTAGCCCAGTTAAGGGGAATGATGAATGGAGAATTAGACGCAATCCAGAACTATCCAGCTTATACAAGGAACAGGACGTCCTGAAAACTATCCGGATAGCAAGGGGTCCGGATGGAGGGGCCTAGTTGTACGGATGGACGAGACGTCAACCACAAAGAAGCGGCTTAGCATGGAACTGAGTGAAAAAAGAAAAGAAGGCAGACCAAAATTAAGATGGGAAAATGGAGTAGGTGCTGCCGGAATCCTTGGAATCAAGAACTGATGGACAGCTATTAAGGAGAGTTTTTATATTCTTAACTGGATAGAAAAACAAGATCCATTGATTCTGACTTGACCTCTGTACCCGCTCACTTAGAACTGAAAACTACGAACGTTCCTTTCTAGACAGCTACACTGCCTTATGGAATTCTTTACCATCTATCATCCGTCATTCCTCTTGCCTGTTATCATTCAAATACTTTATTTTATAATGCCTTCTAACATCCCAAACAGACGATCTTGAATTGTAAAATTGCATTTTATGAATGCAGCAGTGATTTTGGCTTAGGTAGTTTCATTATCACATAAGAATGTGTTTGATTTGTATGACCCATCCTTAGTTAAGACAACTTTCTCTGTACGAATAGGGCTCGAAGTGAACCATAGTTTTATAGATTTTTTTTTATTTCCTTTAATTTTCTCGGTGGGCTCTCGTTCCACATGGATTGCCAGCCAAAAGCTATATCTTTTTGAGGAAAAGGCACTTCGTTTTAAAATGACAGCGCCCGGTGCAAATGCAAGTGCTTGGCTGCCGCGTCCTAAGTTCAAGTAGTGCCTATTGTTTTAAAACAAAAATCAATGCTTTTTTTTTTAGTTTTGTTATTTTTTCTTATCTCCAGGCTTTCTATACGAATTTGTTTTCCCGTTATAATCATACTTCGTTTCGAGAAGAATTTATTTTTATTTTTAGTTGTTTATATATGATTATTTAAGTTATTGTATGTATCATTGGTGGCCCGAGATACTACCATGTCTCTCACCACTACACAGAGTTAGAGTGGCTCTTCCCCTCCATTCGAAGACAATATTTCCTAGGTACATTCCTCTATCATATCATCAACAATCATCGTCCTACAACCTTCTCCAATTCAAGTCCTCAGTCCACTCCCTCTCCACAAGATCTCGACCTTCCGACCTTTACATTCCTTCTCACAGATCTGCCTCGTTCCAAAACTCCTTTATTGCACGTTCTGTTAGTTTCTGGAATTCCCTTCCTATCCAAATTCGACATTCTTCATCCTTATCTACATTCAAAACCTCCTATTCCAATTCCTATCCCAAAAACAGTCAGGCACCAGCTAACCTTTTATGTAAAATTACATATTATCTATAAGACCATATTCACATATAGCTCATAACCTAAATACTTATTATAGATTCGACTTTCTTTTTCTCTTTTTTTTTTTTTCAACAGAAACAGATTTTACTGTTAAGAAAAATACACATTTATTTTTTCTGTATTTTTTATTTTTTCTAAAAGGGTTTATTTATGTTTTAACATTGTACATAGTTTTAAGTATCTTAGTATGGTTTCAAGAGTTTTTTATATAGATTTTTTTTTTTATTTTGTATATAACCAATATTTTTTTCATTTCTTTTTTTTTAATGACCTATCTTTATCTTAATTTGTTATGTTTGTTTTTATCTGGCCAGATGTAAAATTTTAATTTCTGTACTTTTTTGTTATTCTGAAGGGACTTCGTCCCAGAATAAAATTATTTGTCTATTCTATT